GCCTTCCTGCTCCTCTGATGCTGCTTGGCCTGCTGTGTTCATCCAGCACTACACCTTGTTATCTCAGATTCTCCAGCGTCTGCAGTTCCTACTATCTCTGAATCAATTATTGAAGATTCGGACCTCTGGCCCTCTGGTCAATCTGACTGGCTGGAAGCTTCAGAAGCCCCAATAATACCAGAACTCCATAGTGAATACTGCCAGGACTGCAACCAGTGCCAGAATGAAGACCCCACGGAGCCCTAGATCCAGGTAGGCAAGGGGCATTGGCCAGGGAAGGTTTGGCAACATTAAGGAGGGGGCAAAGGTGATTTATTCATGGATTAGTCTTCAAATCTAAAGAATGACAAACATCTGGTGACAGAACTGATTAAAAGAACCATTAGAACACCCAAGAACTCAAAGGAGAACTGAAATATTCATTACGGTTGAGGATATAAGACACCACTTAAATGACTGTGCTCCCAAGTTAAAATCTTACACTTCAAGGATACCGAAAAGTTTAGACTGTATATTCCTTTCATCTTTCTCTTCTGCTAGACATTAACCACTCCTAACTTTGTACATGTCTGCACATATGATTGATACTAAATCCTTATGAATATCTTTTTAGTTCACATAAGGAAACTTTATAATTGGTGCCTCATAGATAGACATCGTGTAATCATTTTTTGTTGGGGAGTAAGGTAGTAATAATGTTATTAGTATTAATAGCAGGGTTAAAATGGAAGTGCATGATACCCTAAAAAGAGTGCTACAGTTCCACTTGATTCCAAGATGTAACAATATATAATAACCCATACTTCAACACAGAGAAAGGAGATGAGGAAAATTGAGAATCCAGACAAGACAACTGAGCTACCATGGAAACTAACAAACCCAAGGCTGAAGACTGAGATAAAAAAAGGGCCTGCATGAGCTTAAGAATTATAAATGCATGCTGAAAATTCTATACTTCTGAGAAGTTCTTTAGGTAACCAAGATGAGATATGTCCTTGTATGTATTCAAATAAAATCTTCGCTTGCATCAACTGCACTGACTCAGAGTGGTCATTTTTCACCACAACAAGGAGACGTATAGACTCAGGCTAAAAAGACCATAAATGTTTGTTAGCAGTTAGCTGAGTAGGCTAAAAACAGGGCAGCTAAATCACCTCACCATAACACATTCTCCCAATAAATTCCTGCATACCTGATTCTTTTTTCTCTCCCTTCCCGCATTATATTTATTCTGCGACATTTTAAATGCTGTTCCTTTGAAATATCCTGCAATCCTAAGGGAGAATCTTACATCCAAATGTTGACTGACTTATTTTCCTCCACAGAAGCTACTTGGATATTTCCAGATTTTTGTTTTTGTTGCTGAAAGCTAAGATACCTTCTTGGTTAGTCGATGGTTAATGTCATCCATGTCATTTAATCTTTCAGTGCTCAGATTGGCCTGCTGGGATCACTTGTCAAGAATATTTATATTAGGGTAGAATTCCCATTTTCCACCCATTTCCCATTATGTGGCTCCTGATGGCAAAGACTCTGCCCCAGCAATGTTCATTCAGAAATTGTAATTTCAAGTAAAAGCTATTTGCGAATGTAAGTTACCAAAAATAACATGATCTTTTTCACTAAATATTCCTAACATTGTATTTTACTTTGCATCACTAATTGACTTTAAAAATCTGGGGGGAAAGAATAGTCTGACAGATATTTCATACCTGGTACATGAACAGTCTCACCGTCCTCTGGCACACCAGTAATCATTGGTTCACCCGTTTTACTGTGCTCCCGAGATTCGATTTCAGAGGTGGTCTTTGAGCGAGCTGTTGACACCAATGTGGTTTCAGTAGTTTTGTTATCAATTTGTACCAAATGAAAGATAATTTTACCAGAATCATCAGTACTCTTTATCAATAGTTGAGGTGTTTGTGTAGATCTTCCATCTTCTGATCTGTCCAGGGGTGATGGAGGAGGTACATCTGTGTGAATGTCGGTGCCATCTGTTAGAGACCCTTCTACAAAAGGTGAAGGATGTATTGAAGGAGGAGTCCTTAATTCACTTATTTTTGCATGTGTCACTACTGTTGTATCTTTGAGATCTTGCTTCACAAATAGTTCCAGCTGCTGTGAAGTGTTCTCATGTAAAGAGGATGATATTGTTGTGACTTTAACAGATTCTTTAATATCCTTTTCAGGATCCTTTTGTTCTGTAGCTGGCCTTAAAGATGTTGCACTGACTGAAGTGTCTTTAGAAATTTCAACGTAATTATTCTGTGCTGGTGATGCATCTACTTCTCCAGGCATGGCAGTATCTGCGTCTGGTGGCAATACAGTCCCTGTAATGTGTTCTGAGGCATGTATGTGAATTTCATATAAGGGAGTTTCACCCACTGCGCTTGGGGAAGTGGTTGTTTGTGGCACAGGTGATTCTTTTTCAAATATTTTGATTGGCGTTGAGACTGAAGCAGAACTTTCTGCTAATTGTAATTTTGAACTCAAATCTAACAAAGACATTGTATTAGACACAGTCTCCTCAGTTCTCTTGTCCATTGTGTATGAAAATTCTTGCTGACTAATAATTGGTTGTGTAATTATTTGACTTACTCCAATTTCTTCTTTTGTAGAAACATAGTCAAAGATCGATGGTGAAGGCAAACTTTCTGGTTCTTCCATTTTAATTTGCTGTGTTGTTGGTTCCATTGTTGCAATCATCACCAATTCTTTACCATGCTTCTGGTCTGGCAATTCTATTGATATACCTTCTTCTGTAGAAGAGGAAGTAAAGTTATTAGCAGATACGTGTTCTGTAAGCAGCTCTGTTAAAGTCACAGCTTGCTTTTCAGTAGAAGTTGCTTTTGTTGGTGAACTTACTGTGTTAGCAAACTCAAAACCAAGTTCAGATGAAGTCTGTGTTTGGGCAGCCTTATCCAGTAAATGGGTATATGCTCTATCTTCAACACTTAGAAAATCATCTCCAGAAAATTCCTCCTGTAATAAACTGGATGCTGTTGAGCCTTCAATGTCCTTACGTTCTGTCATAGGATGAATGTATCCTTCACTGACATGGGCCTTTGAATCATTGACTACTTGATAAGTTGGTGATTTTTCTGAAGGCGTGCTTTGACCATCTACATACTCGATAGAAGTTTGCACAGTCGATGTGTATGTGTCACCATCTTCTTCAACAGGAATTATTTTTGACACATTTTTCCTTATGCCTTCCGTGGATGAAACAGATACGTGTTGAGGTAAAATTGTGGTCTTAAATAATGGCAACATGTCCTTTGTCACCTCTGGTTCAGACACATCTTTCCCAATTCTATCCAAGGAAACTGTTGTGGCAGCTGTGCTGATGATAACTTTTGGCTCAAGTGTTACTGGGATTAAAGATGAAGGCAGATCTCCAGATCCAGTAATATCTGTCTCAATATCACTCGAGGCATAAGTGGCAATGTGCTCCGGTTCCGCAGTTTGGATAATTTCCAATCTTTTTGTGGCGTTATGAGTTGGCAGATAAGTTGGAGTCTCTTCATCAATTTTATCCACATTTATACTTTCAATTTCTCCTTTAGCATCTTCTAATTTTTTGTCAACATCAATTATAAAATCTGATACTGTAGTGGTTCCAAATTTCTGTTCTTCTATAATACTAATTCCATTTTCCTTACCATTCATATAAATTACACTAAAGTTTTGAGGTGCTAGAGAACTATCTGTAATTTTATCTTCAGATAATTGGTCATCTCCCCCATCCCAAACAAAACCCGTACTTTCTAATGTCTTCTCATCAGGTCTTGTAGTTCCCTCCTGGGTTTCTTTTAGCTCTGCTTTAACTGTTTTTAACAATGATTCAATTTTTTTATAATCCTCTTCACTCCTGGCAGTACTAGAAATTATTTTTTGTGTATAATTCATTTCATCATCTGTTTGGATTCTTGTCCTATCAACCAACCTAGGCTGAAATTTATCCTTTACCCTGTCTGTTGAAACAAGAGTTGGGGTAGTTACCAGTGGGGTTTCTTTTACATGTATACTACTGACAAATACTTTTGGCTGTTTTGGTGAGAACTCTTCACCAATCAGAGCAGAGGTAGGAGAAAACTCTTTGGCAAACTGCACCTTTGTTAATTCACTAGAAGCTTCTTCTATAAAAGGAAGGACTGTTTGTTTGCTTGCTTCAGTAGTAAATATGAGTGGTTCCCTGGGAGTTGGTGAAGGCCTAGGGTATTCAACAGATGGTTTTGATTGTGGTTTACCAATAACCTCAGTTTTCTCTTGTCCTTTGAGCGTGGACATGTCAGTTTTTTCCTGATGCACAGCCCCAGTAATGGACTGAACCTCCGCTTCTTGTTGTGATTCCTCACTGTGGATAGCTTCAACAGTGCTTTGCTGCTCATGTAATGAAATTGTTGTGTGTAAGCCAACTTCCACAGTTTCTTCACTGCTTTGTATTGTGATGGCACTTGTTCTCTCAGTTGAGTCTTCTTCACTTTCACTGCCATCTCCAACACCAGGATGAACTGATGCCGAAATATGTTCTTGTTCAACTTTTTCACCAGAACTTTCTTCATCTGAAAGAGGAGGCTGTTTGTGGGAAACTTCCATCATTTCTGTGGTTTCTTCAATTGCTGCAGAGGTCCCTGAAGGCTTTATAATCACTTTTCCAGGCAAACTGTACATTCCAGTCATTGATTTTGTTGATTCTGATGTAAATTCTTCAGACTTCTGTTCAACTGCTGGTGTAACAGTGACATGGGGAGCTTTAGTTGAGACTGAAAACAATGTATCAACAGTTTGCACTTTGTCAACCAAAGTTATTGCTGGAGATTTGTCTGCTGCTTCAGTAAATATTTTTATCAATGTTTTTTGTGTCTCTGCCTCTATCTTGGGTAAATCAGATGTGGATATCCTAGCTTCTGCCTCATGGCCAGCAGTAACAGCTGTATAAGGAGCTTCCTCTTCCAGTGATGTTTTGCTCGTCACTGAGACTGAATGGCTGTGTGTTTCTGGAGTGGAAACATCTGTAACTACTTGTTTGAAGGTAAATATTCCTTCACCAGAACCTTCTAAATCTACAAACGGCACTGGTGTCTGCAAATCTTTCTCTGCTTTTGCGCTTTTCTCAGTAGCTGGAAATTTATCTGAAAGCTCAATATCCTTCACTGGCAGCTCTTCAGTCATGGTGATCACTTTTGTTGCTTCTGTTCTGGCATGTTGAGACATTTCTTCAAATGCAGGCATAACAGTGACATAGGGAAAGGTCACATCCATGCTTTTTGTTGGGGCTGACAATAATGTATCAACAGATTCCTTCTCATTTACCTGAGCTGTTGCAGGAGATTTGTCTGCCACTTCCATAGGCACTTTGAGAAATATCTTTTCTGTTTCAGATCTAGGTATGGGTGAACCAGATGTGGTCAGTCCAGACCCTCCATCAAGTCCACCAGTAACAGCTGTATGAAGAGGATGTGAATCTAGTGGGATTTTATTTGTCACTGGAACTATGTGGCGACTCACCTCCGAGGAAGAAAGAACTGGAAAGTGGCTAACTGCATCTTTGATGCTAAATAATCCTTCACCGGAGCCCTCTATTTCCAGGAAAGAAGGAATGGAAAGTTCAATATCTGCATCATGTGCTGCTGTAATATTAGTGTGGACAATT